GCTATCCTTTCTTTTCACAGTCTCCCGTGGCTTCTGCTTGTGCTTTATTAATAGCTTGAGAAGCACCTGTGGACTCCTAAGAAGGTGTTTGCTTCATGGAATTCATTTAAAGCAATTTACAATGTCGTAAGCACTAGCACAGATGTAACTTGCTTTACTTGCGCGAATTCTGTTGTTGTCCACACCAGGAGCGACTCCTTAACACAAATTTATTCAAATTGCTGCTGAATGAATTACTAGTTCCACACATCTGAGCAAGACATTAATGCACATAAAGAGCACACGTATGATTGCAAGTAGCATTCCCTGGGTTTAAGCCTACGACGTCTACCCCTTACTTCCACACTGGTTGGAGGTCAGCGTGCGATAGCTCCTACCGATTAAGCACTCTCCTACACAATTCTAGATAACAGTCCGTAGTCTTTACCCATAGATGTTGTTGAGAGTGCTGAAGTGGCATTATGGGAAACCTTGTCTATGTTTCACAGTTTACAAGCCATATTCGCGACTTTGGTGGGACTGATAACGTTGTGGCTGATGCGCTCTCCCGAGCACATATTCATAACCTTTCAGTTCCTGGTTTCGATCTTGAACAGTTAGCTGCAGCACAGATGGATGATCTTGAATAACAACAGCTTAGTCGAAATTCTGGTCTAAATCTGGAAGAGCTGCCACTGCCCCAATGTTCTTCAAAAATTACTTTCGACATATCACTTGATAGTCCTCTCCCCTTTGTTCCCGTCTTATTTAAGAAACAAATATTGGAATCCCTTCATTCACTTTTACACCCTGGTGTTTGTGCCACTGTGCTCTTCATAACAGACCGTTTTGTTTGGCCTAGCATTCGTAAAGATGTTCGCTTATGGGTTAATCTCTGTATTCATGTCAACGCAACAAAGTCCACCGCAATAACCTTTCACAACTGAGACAATTTTTCCTTCCTGGACGCGCGTTCTGAACTGCAGCATACCATCCAGCCTCTAATGGCTTGGTTAAGCTTTCCACTGGCAATTGAAATCAGCCATTATTGCAAAAGCTTTCTCCGAATCACTGGTCTAACGCATTACCATTAATTTTAGTAGCCATTCGAAATAATGTAAAGAAAGATATTGATTCCACGCCAGCAGAATTTTTGTTCGGCATAACGTTGCGTCTGTTCGGTGAAATGGTCACCAAGACTGACCACACTATTAAGTTTCCGTCTTCATCGTATGTCGAAAA